CCTTTGATCCCTATACAGCGACAATCCTATTTCTGTCAGAAACTAGAATTTTTTTTTTCAGTTCTTTTTTTTTTTTTTTATTTCGGCATATTGTGGGGGTACAGATTTTAAGGTTTCAATAAATGCCCATTTCCCCCCCTTCCCCCAAAAGTCTGAGTCTCCATCATGACCATCCCCAGATGGTGCCCATCTCACTCATTATGTATGTATATACCCGCCCAGAATTTTTTTTTTATGTTTTCTCCTCTTCTTGATTTTCTAATTACTTGTTGAATCATGAAAACTGATTTTTACTCCCTACCACACCACCAAAATTGCTTTTGATGAAATTCCAGTGTCCCTCATACTGTTCATTCCAGTGGGGCCTCACTCTTCCTCTGTGTTGATCTTCAGCAGCATTTGCCATCAATGAGACTCCTTAAAATAAACACATTTTATTTTTTATTCTATAAGAACACACCCTCTGGTTTTGCTCTATCCAGCCTTTAGCAACATAAATAAGGACTTGGGTAACTTTGCTGCTACCACACCTCCTGGCTCACTTTCCATCTATCACTTACTTTCCCTGCTCACTGTGGTCCAGTCAAACTTGCTCCTTTCTATTTCTGGAATTCACCAAGCTCTTTCCCAACATGTCATTTATAGATATATATATTTTGTCTGGAATACTCTTCATCAAAATTAAGTTCCTTGCCTTTATTGCATCTCTTAAAGATTTTCTTGGTAGCACAGGGAAATAGAGTTTTATTCATTCCTGCACTTCTGGCACCAGGGAAATGTTTATTGCATGATTCAAGTACAGATGGTCTCTGATTCAAGGAATTTTGAGTATAATAATGAGTATATGTGACAAAATATTGAATTAAGATTTAAATATTGAAGTAAGGAAGGAATGAGTAAAATTATTTCTGTTTGCAGATGACATGATCCTATAAAACCCTAAATAATCCACAAAATTTTGTTCAAACTAATGTACAAATCAGTAAAATTGCAGAATACAAAATCACCATACAAAATCACTTGTGCTATATAAAAATGACCTATCCAAAAAGAAATTAGAAAAAAAATCTCATTGACAATACAATCAAAAAGAATAAGATACTTAGGAATTAACTTATGTAAGGAATTAAAAGACATACATTGGAAACTACAAAACATTGTTGAAAGATATTAAAGAAGATATAAACAAATGGAAAGACATCTCATGTTCATGAATTAGAAGACTTAATATTGTTTAAATGTCCTGACTACCCAAAGGAAACTACAGACTCATTGCAATCCTTATCAAACTCTCAATGGCATTTTTTAAAGATACAGAAAATACAGCCACCGGGCACGGTGGCTCATGCCTATAATCCTAGCACTCTGGGATGTCGAGGCAAGAGGGTCGCTCAAGGTCAGGAGTTTGAAACCAACCTGAGCAAGAGCGAGACCCCATCTCTACTAAAAATAGAAAGAAATTAATCAGCCAACTAAAAATATATAGAAAAAATTAGCCAGGCATGGTGGCACATGCCTGTAGCCCCAGCTACTCAGGAGACTGAGGCAGGAGGATCGCTTGAGCCCAGGACTTTGAAGTTGCTCTGATCTAGGCTGAAGCCACAGCACTCTAGCCCAGGCAACAGAGTGAGACTCTGTCAAAAAAAAAAAAAAAAAAAAAGATACAGAAAATATAATCTTAAAATTCATTCCCAATCATAAATGACCACAAATAATCTTGAGCCAAATAATCTTGAGAAAGTAGAAGAAAGCTGGAAGCATTACACTTCCTGATTTTGTTACAAAGCTATAATAATTAAAACAGCATTGTTACTGGCATACCAAAAAGCCATATAGGCCAGTGGAATAGAATAGAGAACCCAGAAATAAACCAAATGCATATAAGAAAATCCATTGATTTTCGACAAGAGTGGTAAGAATACACAATAGGGAAAAGATAGTTTCTTTAACAATTGGTATTGGAATAACTGGATATCTACATGCAAACAAATGAAATATGGCCCTTTTCTTAGTCCATACATGAACATATAATTCAAAATGGATTAAAAATATAAACATAAGATCTGAAACTATAAGACTACTAGTAGGAAAATATAAGGGATACTCTTTTATGACATTAATCTTGGCAATGATTTCTTGGATATGACACCAAAAGCACAGGCAAGAAAAGCAAACATAAACAAATGGGACTACATCAAACTAAAGCATTTCTGCATGGCAAAGAAAACAACAGAGTGAAGAGACAATCTACAGAATGGGGGAAAATATTTGCAAACCACATATCTGATAAAGGGCTAATACCTAAAATATATAAAAAACTCATTCAGCCCAATAGTAAAAAAACAAATAATACAATTAAGAAATAGGCAAAGGAATTGAATAGACATTTCTCCAAAAACGACATACAAAGACCCACAAATATATGAAAAGGTACTCAACATCACTAATTATCAAGGAAATTCAAATCAAAACCACAATGAGATACCTCACACCTGTTAGGATAGCTCTGATCCTAACACAAGACAGCAAATTTGACAAGGATGTGGAGAAATCAAACTCTTTATATATTGTTGACAGAAATGTAAAATGGTACAGACAATATGAAAACAGTGTAGAGTTTTCTAAACAAATTAAAAATAGAACCACCATATGATCCAATAATCTCACTACTGGGTATTTATCCAAAATAATTGTAATCAGGATCTTGAATAAATATGTGCACCCCTATGTTCCTTGCAACATTATTCACAATAGCCAAGGTGTAGATGCAATCTAAATGACCATAAATAGATAAATGGATAAAGCAAATGCGGTAAATACATATAATATTATTAAACCCTAAAAATAAGGTTTTCTTAAAAACCTTCAACCTTAAAAACCTTATTTTTAGGGTTTAATAATATTATATTGTTATAATATGCAACAACATAGATCCTAAGTGAATTAAGTCAGGGACAGAAAGACCAATACTACATAATCCCACTTCTATGAGGTGTCTACAATAGTCAAAACACATAAAAGCAGAGAGTAGAATAGTGGTTGCCAGGGGCTGGGAGTAGGAGCAAACAGGGAGTTGCTATTCAATGAGCATAAAGTCTCAGATATGCAAGATGATTATTAAGTTTTTGAAATCTGCTACAAAACTTTGTGCTTATGGTTAACAACATTCTACTGTACTTAAAATTTTGTTGAGGATAAATATCATGTTAAGTGTTCTTACTACAATTCAAGAAAGAAAGAAAGAAAGAAAGAAAGAAAGAAAGAAAGAAAGAAAGAAAGAAAGAAAGAAAGAAAGAAAGAAAGAAAGAAAGAAAGATGGCATCCAGAAATCTCAAATTCTATCCTTCCACCTAGTGATCTAAAAGGAAGACACGTTGTGTTTATCATGATTTCCAGCAGAAAAGTGCACTGGAAGACTTTAATTGGTCTAGCTCCATCCTTGTGCCCATTTTTAATGCAATCATTCTTTCCATAGAGATGCAAAGCTATGTTGTACAAGCCAAATGAATGCCAAAGTATGACACTATTCGTGTTAAAAAAGGAACATGGAAAATTTGAATTTGATAGAGCACATTTTTGTTGATTTTTATAGTCAGATTAGTATGAAGCACTGAAAGATCAGAGACACATGTAAAACGAAAACTGAGAAGGAAATTGAGTTCAGAAAGGTACAAGAAGGCTGTTAAGTTGAAATACTTACTGTCTTTAAGTTTGACAAAAAATGATATGCTGATGTTTTTCCTGAAATATTTTTATTAATTTGGTAAGCTATAAACTTCATCATTTTAAAAATCAATCTAGTATTCCCATAGTCATATCTCTCTGGGGCAACTAGTATAATCTTCAACAAATTCCAGTCCTACATTAAGAGGATTAAAAAGCAAAAAAAGAAAGTAAAGGTAAGTACATGTAACTATAATATTTCAAATGTCCTCACTATCCTCTTTTCTAAGCACCTTCTAAAGCACTGTTTATTATCTCTTTTTAAGAGATCTTTAAAACAAAATGAAACTTTTAAATGCTCAACTTTTGTGCTTTCTTAGACCACATAAGATAATAAAAATGAGAGAAGTCATTTTGCAAAAAAGGCAGACGGCTCTAGATTTTTTTCTAAATCATGTAGTAGATAGAACTGAATTTCTTTCGAAAAATTGTTATATTTTGTTCCCTTACTTGCCAACATGTTTAGTGACTATTTTATTCAGGGTGTATGTGACATCTCAAGGTGGATTTAACTCCAATCAGAAAAGGTGAAATGATCTAAGCAAGAAAGCACATTTTGTTCTTTACAGTATGCTCACTTATCTCTTTAGGGAACTAACTACTCAATTCTTCATATCCTCAAAATGTGGCCATTTAAAGACACTTAATTATAATAATTTTGTAAGCATTTCTTTCCTCATGTGCTCATTAACTTAAATGGAATTGAAATTTTTATAGATACCGCTATGACTAGAGTCACACATTTTACATATAAAGTAATTACAAAGTTAGAACAAAGTTACAAAAAAATATATATATCTACTTACCACTTTATTTGCTGATTAATTAGTGGAATTTGGTATCAAAAGTTAGGTTACAGAGCAATGGTGTACTAGCTAAATTAAAAGAAATTCAGAATTTGAGTTTATCTTAGATTCTAAGATTTGTCTGTCCATTTGTTTGTTTGTTGAGTAATGTTTACTATGCAAGAAAAAAACCTCACTTATTCCAGTTACTATAGCCCCAAAGGAAAAGAAGAGTATCTGCATTGATAGTCAAATCTAAAAGCAAAAAATGAACAGGGGAAAAATATGTATGGAATCGTTCAGTTAGGTTACTATTGAATAAATCGACAGATCTATGAATAAAATAATGAATAAATTAACATATAAAACATAATGAGTAAATGAATATATAAAAAGAATTTCTCCGTTAGTCCGTTTTCATCTACTATTGACCATGGAAGTGATCATACTTTCTTTTCCCAAGGGTGAGCCCTTTTGTTTCTCTTATTACAGGTTCTTTTTCTATGTGTGGACCAACTGTAATGTTTCTTTAGAGAAGACTGCATATCTCAGCAAAACCTGTCAGATGACATCAAAGATTGGCATGCAGAGTTGCTTGCATGTAAGATGATATGCCTTTAAATCTTCTAAGCACTTGCTTAATAAAAGTACTTGATGCTTGGGGTTTACTTTTAATTTTCCTGAGCCATTGATCATCCTGAGCTGGCTAATCAATTTTTGTAATTGCTGATGAAATTAACAAGAGACAGACCAACCCCCAATTGCCTGTACAATGGTATATCAAAGATATGCATATCCAAAAAGTAGACAAAATCAAGTATTCTATCTTGCATGTGGCTTTTTTTTTTCAGAGACATGTCTTCATTTTCCATTCCTCCTAGATTATTAAGATACATAGAATAATTTAATTTAATTATAATGGGTCAAATGGTTTTGGCCAATACTGGTGACAATTAATGGTCACAAGATATACTGTAGGTTTTATTTAATGTTTATATTATGTCTATGTAACTATATGAGGATCAATATATGATAAATATATGATAAATAGTTTTCAAGTAAATAGTATAATAGTAAATAGTTACTGGATATGCAATTGCAATATTGTACAGTCTACAGAAGTAGTACTAAGACCAGCTTATCTTCTATAACAAGCAAAAATAAGTATCATAGAAATATGTTCACTTCCATATGAAGCTAATTGATATTCAATATTCTACAAATTGAATACAGATAAATAATTGAATATAAATTCTACAAATTTAATATAATATCTATATAGATAAGTTAGCTACATGTGTAGATCTCCTAGGAGGCTTCCACTCCATGTGACCTTAGAGATCATCACCTTTATCATACTTGCAGTGTGCTTACCCAGTGCATTTATAATCACATAATTTAATATGAGCTATGCCTTTAAGTTGGGTTTAATTATTTCAGTATTACAAATGATAAAATTGAAGTGCAGAAGTATTAAGTAATTTTTCTTAGGACATGTAGGTACAAAGAAGCAAGAGCCACCACCTGAACACAGGTCTGTTTTGTAGGAAACCTCATCTCATAAAACACTTCAATGTTCTGCACACTTTCTTTTAGGTATTCACGTCACAAAGGTCTCACTGACATTTTTCACAATACTGATTTGTTTCCTTGCAAAGGTAGCCTTTATGGACATTTCTGTCTGCTACACTTCTACTGTCTACAGTAAGAAACCAGTTTTTCTAAAGCATGAATAGAGTGTGGCTTCTTAATTTTTCTGTGTGACAACTTAGCTGATGCTGAGGAATGGTTCAGGGCACATACTTTATTATTTTTTTCCATTTTCATAACCTGGTATATCTTTTGCAAAACCTTGCAGGGTTTTACTCTTGTCACAACACAAATGTTTTCATCCTTTTCTAACACAAATTTTCATCACCTACTTCCAATATACTGAAAGATTTAGAAATGAAATACTGCCTGTGCCTTTGAGATATAAAATCCAGTTAAACTTACCTTGCACAGAACCCTCTCTCTAGGGTCTACATAATCTTTCCCATCTCTTAAATCCTATTGCTGATACATATGAACTGAAAGAGAAGCCAATTCAGGAAGGAGCTGGTTCAAGATGTGCAAAGGGAAAATCCCATTAGAATGGATTTACAACTCAATTGCATAAGGTCCAGGATACTCAGTAAATTATTGGGGCTATTCATATTATTTCATTAGAGAAAAATTTCACTATATTGAAAAAAAGAGTTATTAGCTAGACCTTGAAAAAAATAAATAAAATAAAATAAAATTGGACATCATTTTTCTAATGTTATCTGATTTATTTATGAAGTATTTTTAAAGCTAGTTTCATCTGTCATAGCTTGTTGTCAGAAGTTTCATTTTTGCTCCTCAAGAAATGCCACACAATGGGGAGGTTTCATGTGTATATTTCTGCTGAGCAGAGGTTACATGTGTTCTTATTTGTAGGTATGTTAATAAATAGTATTTTCTTAAAAAATATAGTTCAATGGATTACTTATCACACATCAAAATATTATCACAGTGAATAAAATACTAAGTAATTATTCAAATTACTGTACTATATTCCAACATTTCAGGTAACAGAGATTTTCATTTATTGGCATTCTTACTGAAATGTATCTAAACATATCAGTTGAAAAGTGGGTAAAATTGAAAAGGCAAAATGGCAAAACACCATTTGGAGATTACAAATAACATGATTCATATTTATAGGTCAAGTTTGTTCCCTTCATTTAAATGGGTAATCCTCCTGCTTCACAAAAATAAAAGAAGTAAAGAAATAGCTAAGGAAGGATTGATAAATCCTTAAAGAAGCTGCACAGTTATGTCTTTTGAGAAATCATTTCCCATTACATATTAAAATGTTTGACTATTAATTGAAGCTGCGGCGGCACAATTCTGAAATGAAACCATATGATTTAATAGAAGAAAGCCCAGAGAAGGAATGTGAAACTCCACATTCAGTCTCCAGTTCATCTTTCATTCATAATGTAAATGTTTGAATGCTCTTTTATCATTTCTTGTCCTTTCTTTCTTTCATTTCTCTACAAAGATTTAGTTCTTTCCCTTCTAGTCTTCTCAGTGAAATGAAGATCAATTCTTCCTGTACATGTATTCACTGATTCAAAGAATCTTTATTTCATTAAGTGCCAGGCCTCCTTCTGTCACTGCTAACAGAGCACTGTTACAAGAAAGTTCAAGTGCTGAGCTTTGTAGGGAGACAAACAATAAATGAGCTAAAAAATTAATGAAATGATTGTTGTAGATGTTGGAGATACATAAAAGGCTTTGCTAAAATAGAGAACAACTGGGGATTATATTGAATTCAGGGTTAGGTAAGGTCTTCCTGGGAAGGTTACATTTAATGCAATACATGAATTTTATAAACAATCCAAAAATGTTGTAGATGCAGAAAACAGCCAATGTAAAGATGTAAGGAGGAGCTTGAAATTGAAAATAATTCCAGCGTGGAATTCCAAAGAAATAATTCCAGTATGTTTAGGAATCTGATTCCCAAGGCCCCATTCATGAGTGGCAGTGGAGGCCATGGAAATTCAGGAGAAAAGGGCTATTTTTAAGACTGGTTACTTCACCCAGTCCCTCTACTACTTTGGTCCACTGTTGAACTATATTTTCCAGCCTCCTTTGTGATTGGTTATGGTCATGTGACTGAGTATAATCAGCAAAATATGAGCATAAGTGTTGCATGCCACTTCCAGGCCTAATCCATAAAAATATCACATATAATTCTCTATGCACTTTGCCTAGGCTTGATTTAGAAGTCACCTGTTGAAGAGGACAGAGGCACAAAATGGTAAGAGCTTGGGTTACTAGAGCTCGCTATTTGAAAGAGAGCCATCACTTATTGGGAAAGCTGTTTTGCACTTCGTGTGAGCAAAAAATAAACACCAACTATGTTAAGCCACTAAATTTTCAAATTTATATGTTAAAACATTACCTAAATTAATACAGCTAAATATTGATACTTTATTTTAATGGCAATAGAATATATGAAAAGGTATTAAATAATGCAAATACTTTAAAAATTTGTATTTCTTTTTTATTATTATTATTCTTATAGCTGTATTTAGAGATTATCACATCTAACCCTTTGATTTCTCAGATGGGGAAACAGACCTGTGCCCTCACCAAGTGTTTTAAGAAGTTAACACACAGCCTTGTAGCCAGCCAAGGGTAGAAGTAGACACACAATAAAGATCTGAAATATTCTTGATACTATGCCCAGAATTGTCAAGGAACAACAGCAAGAAAAATAGTTAGGAGGCTATTGGAATAGACTGGAAAAGAGCTAACAGTGACTTTGACAAGGGTGGTAGTTAGAGATGGAGGAAAGCGAAAAATTTTTATAAACTTTGAGAATAAACCAACACATTTTGCTAGTATATTGGTTGTAGGAGAAGAAAAAAAAAAAGATAATTTTGAAAGATGGCTACAAGTTTTTATCTTAAATTTATTTAAATAATCTTGTTAATTTTAGAATAGTTAGATTTACAAAAAGTTGCAATTTTTACCAAGATTTTCAGTGTACTCCTCACCTGATTTTCCCAGTTGTTAACATCTTACATTCCTATGATATACTTGTCACAACTAAGGAGCCAACATTTGTACATTACTATGAAACATCACATTTTATTTGAATTTTCCTTATTCCTCTACCCCAATATCCTTTTTCTGTTCCAGGATCTCATTCTGGAATATCATATTATATTTGTTTGTCCTGTCTAATTAACCTCATCAAATGTATTACAATTTCTTAACTTTCTTTAGTTTTGATGACTTTGAGCATTTTGAGGAGTACTGGTTAGGTATTTTCTAGAGAGTTCCTCAATGCGGGTTTGTCTAATGACTTGGTTTCTCGTGGTTTGACTGAGGTTATAGGTTCTTTGGGAGAATGGTCATAGAGATAAAGAGATATTCTCATCACATCATGTCAAGAGTACAAACTAATGATTGGTTAGTTGATTATGCTAACTTTAAGATAGCATAATTACCTGGCAAGGTAATTAACCTAATTTTTCCATTGTAAGCTTGCCCCCTCAATTCACTTTCATATTCTAATCTCTGTAGACAAGTCACTAAATTCAGGAAGGGAGAGATCATTTAACATCCACCTCCTTGAGAAAATCTGTCTAAATTATTTAGAATTCTTCTATAAAGAATAGTTGTATCTTCTCCATATGTTCACTTATTCAATCATTCATTTACATCAATATAAATTCATGTGATATTGATTTTATACTTTAGAACAGATTACACTACCCCTCTATTTTGTTTCTCATATTGTTCCAGCTTTGGCCATTGGGAGATCTCTCACACTGGTTTCTGTGTCCCCATGACAAAATTAATACTTTTATTTCTTGAGAATTTCCTCACTTCTTATCACCGCAATGTGTACCAGGCCCATTTTAGATTTTTCTGCTCCAGCTCTAGAATCAGTCATTTCTCCAAGGAGTCCAATTCTTTCTTTTTTTAATTATAGAATTAATTTAATTATAGAATTAATTATAGAATTAATTATAGAATGGAATTATAAATCAAGATCTGGTAGCTGTCTTCATTGCTACCAGGATTTTATTGCTTGTAGGCATTTCAGTGCACAAAGCTAGAAAATATATATGTGTATACTAACCTGCATATTCATGTTTATCTATAATTGCTTATGTGTCTACCCATCTTCCTCTATATTAAGCTAAACATAAATCCATACTGACATCTCAGCCTCTAATCTAGCACCACATGATTTATTCTAGCCTCTCCCTTGCTGACCTGTAGTGTCAACCTCTAAGAGTGAGAAACCTGGCTCCCACCATCTACCAACCATTTAGTTATGTGTTCAATCCCAGGGTTCATGTATGAAAGTGCTAGAATTATTAACCTTTACCTCTGTGAGAAGCAACTTTACTAACCAGAGTAGAGTGTTCATCTCCAGTTCCTTTTGTCTTTTAATTTAGCAGTTTCCTGTCAAAGCATCATTTTCCAACGTGACTGAGTCAACATCTCTACCACCTACATCCTTTAGATAAAATATTCTGTCTACTTGGTAAAATTATGTGATATATTTGCAATGCAGATATTCTGGTATCTCTTGATACTCTGGTTGATTTTTCTAAAATTTGCATATATTAGGTTTACTCTTTATGGTGTAAAGTACTATGAGTTTTTACAAATGCATAATGTTATGTCCCACTACTATTGTACCACACAGAATATTTCCAGCACCGTAAGTATCCTTTCTGTTTTCCTTAGTCAATCACTACCATTTCCCTACTCTAAGGCCCTTGACTTAAGCCACTAGATAAATTGTAGTACTATCTTTGAAATGGGAAAGCTATGGCATTATTCAGGTACATTTATTGAGCTTGAGGAACTTACATGACATTCAGGATCAGGAAATTACCATTTTACTATTCTTCTGCCATCACCATTTTACTCTCTGAATTTTAGAAGTTGTGTCCTGAATGTTTCCAAAGGGTAAGGTGAAAGAAGAAATTCATTCAGAGAAGGTACAAAGAGTCAGTGAGATGAAATAGATTGCTTTTCTCAATCCAGAGAATTTGTTAAAACCTAAAAATAACTATTTTCAATGTTTGCAAAAGGGTAATCAAAAATTTGTATGTGTGGCTGGACATGGTGGCTCATGACTGCAACCCTAGCACTCTGGGAGGCTGAGGCAGGTGGATTGTTTGAACTCAGGAGTTCAAGACCAGGCTGAGCAAGAGCGAGACACCATCTCTACTGAAAAAATAGAAAGAAATTAGCTGAACAACTAAAATATATATATATATATATATATATATATATACATATATATATATATATATATATGTCGGGCATGGTGGCGCATGCCTATACTCCCAGCTGCTTGGGGGGCTGAGGCAGAAGGATTGCTTGAGCCCAGGAGTTTGAGGTTGCTGTGAGCTAGGCTGATTGCCACAGCATTCTAGCCCAGGCAATAGAGTGAGACTCTGTCTAAAAAAAAAAAAAAAATTGTATGTGAAATAAGTTGAGTGCTAATTTTAAAACTCACTGGATTTAGCATCTTAATAGTCAGGTCCAAACCACATCTGTGTGGCCTTAATTGTCAGTCATCATCCCTGAATCAGTATCTTCACCTTAATCAAACCTACTCACCTCAGTAAGTCTGTTGGGAAGATTAAAAGATAGAAAACTTGAAAGCACGCTTCAAAAGAATTTTAAATCCTGTTTGAATATGTTGTAATTTTTGTTATTTACCTTTTTTTTTTTTTCATTTTTTTTTTCAATGTCTTGTACCTCTCCTCAGGAAAACATAGCACTATTTAGTGTTACAGCATCCTGCAGAGAACTTCAATATTTGGTCACAGCGTTAAGAGCTCTTGGTTTCACAACTCCATGAGCCCTCTTTGAAATGACCAATTGTTATTTACCTTTTTAAATAGACTTTTTATCATCTATAACAGATGTTTTGGAACATGTGTACCTCTCAAAATGGTTAAATCAAGCTAATTAACATAGACATTATTAAGCATACTTGTCATTTTTTGTAGTGAGAACACTTTAAATTAATTCTCCTAGCAGTTTTTAAGAATACAATATGTTTTTATTAACTATAGTCACCATGATGTACAATAGATCTCTTGAACTTATTCCTGCTATCTAACTGAAATTTTGTACCTTTTGACCAACATCTCCCTAACCCCACCTGCTCACCCAGTTCCTGATAACTACCAGTCTAGTCTACTTTTATTAGTTCATTTTTTTTTATATATTCCACATATAAGTGAGATCATGCAGTATTTTTCTTTCTGTGTCTGGCTTATTTCACTTAGCATAATGTCCTCTAAGTCCATCTATATTGTTGCAAAGGGCAGGATTTTTCTCTGTAAGGCTGAGTGGTATTCTACTGTGTATACATGCTACATTGTCTTTATCCATTCATTCACTGGTGGTCACTCGTATTGATTGCATAGCTTGGCTTTGTGAATAGTGCTGCAATGAGTACAGAAGTGCATGTGTCTCTTCATAGCAATTTTATTTCCTTTGGTTATATACCCAGTAGTGGAACTGCTGGTCTATGATAGTTCTGTTTTTCATTTTTAAAATAATAATACTTTTAGAGAAGTTTAGGTTCACAGCAAAATTGAGTGGAAGGTACAGAGATTTCCTATATATCCCCTGCCCTCAACACACGCACAGCCTCCCCTATTATCAGCTTCCATTAACCTTTTTAAGAAGCAGAAATGCCAGATGTCATAGTCACTTTTAGCTATTGATAATAAATAATTTTATTTATATATTTTTCAGTGAGGAAAACACAATATATTAATAATGTATGTGATGTTTCAAGCTCATTCTCAAAGAAGAAAAAATATCCATAGCATTTCCCAGTGGAATTCCCTTGCAAGCAGTAATTTTCAAAAAATTATATCTTTGGGAAAGAAAGAAATAGCATCAACAGTATATTTAAATAGATAACTGATTCTCAAGTTTACCACAAATAATTCAGGTCTTAAAGTGAATTATGAAGAAGAAAAAAATACAGGACGTCTCCATCCTCAAACTTTTCAAAGAGAAATATTACTCTTGATTTAGTCTTCAAAACCTGATCGAGGCTATTCATAGTATTAGACAGTATCAATAACAATTCATATGCTATGTGCACACAATGCATATATTAATTTCACTTGCAGTCTGGCAAAGATAGATTCAAATAAGCACAATGCACACAAGTGAGTGTGGTTGTCAGGACTGTGCTCAACGTCAGGCCAAAGTCCAAGAAATTGCTTCATGATGTTCGCTGGCACACTGCAGGAATGAAGCCGTTGCCAGCAACAGAAAAATGATAGAAATTCTGTTTGAAGGCACATTTTACATGTCATTTTATATAGAGCATACATATCCTAGAGAGTGGAAAAAGACTTAGGGGTGTTTCCAGCTAAAATCTAATGAATCATTGCCTACTTCCCATAAACATATATAAACATAATTTTAGGTCACACTTTGAAAAATGCATATGAAAAATCAGAAATATGTTTAGAACGGATGCTTAAAAACATTATAGCTTTTTTCTCCTTCATCAAAATCTGAAAATCTGAAAAATTAAGTAATGATTTCAGTGATAGAAATAGTTCTTACAGTGAAAAGTATGAAAAATTAGTAAATAATTAGTGGAAACAAACCATAACCAAAGTTTGTATGAGACCTTAATTTCTGATAAGTAGAGATGCACATATGACCTGAAAAATAAAAGATTTAGGAAATATTTTTTCCTAAACCATTCAGCCTCACACTACATTCTGCTGTAAAGATAAAACAATTTCAGAAAGTGCTGCATAAACAAGTTAGCAGTAAAAGAGCTTCTAAATATAAAGGGGGGAAAGTTGTGAATCTAGGCTAATGGCAGGAGTGCAATATACTTGTCAAATTCTAAAGCAGCATCCTGAGTTCTAAATTTAGGAAGGCTGGCAGTGGATCAAATGCTGGATGGGAGTTAAGGAAACTAACGCTTCAGGCTTGTGCATATATGCCAGGGTGGTGTTGGCAAGAGGGACCTGGATGCTTAGCTTAACTACCATAAAGACAGAGAGGGAAAAAAAAAGTGTCTTGATCATTTGTTTTAGTTAAAGATAATATGCTACAAATGAATAAACACAAAGAAATGTTTTCCATTATTCCGTCATGATTTCTTTCTTTTCTTTCTCTTTTTATTTTTTTTGAGACAGAGTCTCACTCTGTTGCCCAGGCTAGAGTGCGTCACCACAGCTCACAGCAACCTCAAACTCCTGGGTTCAAGGGATCCTCCTGCCTCAGCCTCCCAAGTAGCTGGGACTATAGGCATGCACCACCACACCCGGCTGATTTTTCTATTTTTAGTAGAGATGGGGTCTCGCTCTTGCTCATGCTGGTCTCAGACTCCGGAGTTCAAGCAATCTGCCCTCCTCAGCCTCCCAGAGTATGAGGATTACAGGAGTGAGCCACCACACTCAGCCCAGTCATGATTTCTTGACAAGTGTGGTCTTGCAACACGCTCTGTTATCTCTGTGGATGGAATTTGTATTCCTCTTTCTCTGTAGATTGGGTTTTGCATTTGATTAGCTTCCTTGGATGCAAATGCAGAAGGACATTCTGCCATCAACCCTGACACTAGGACAGACTACAGAATAGTCTCTCTGCACAGTAATCCAGTGTTCCAATGTAACAAACTGGAGAAATGATTCTAATAGCCTGATACTTCTTCTTCCATAGCCATTCCCTAAAATTATTGATATATTCTTATCAATGATAAAAATTATTTATATACGATATATATGTAGCCCTTAGACATGTGTATTATATGAACTTTGGTGGAAAAATGTGTACCAGGATGTACCAGCTGTTTCCATGCAGCAGCTCTTTTGTAATGCACAAGCTAAGTAGTTAGATTGTTTTAACAGAAGACTCAGGTATAGACTCAAGTTAACATTTGAACTAAACATATCATCAAAAAGCATTTTAATTACCGAGCAAGTGATAGAAGATTTAAGAAACAGTGGCAGAACACTTGGTTAATGCTTGAAGACAGAATAAGTACAGTTGTTCAGAGAAGGTTCTAGAATCAGACTCTACACAATGAAAGTCCTAGCTTGGTAACATAGAAGCTCAGTCACTGTGGAAGATTATTTAAACATGTTCTGCTTCAGTTAGCACTTCTTTAAAATGAGGGAAATAATCCCACCAGCTGAAGAAATTAAGACAGTTTAATGACATCATGAATACATACTACTTAAAAAAAAATGCTTCATCATAGTACATTCCTAAAAATGTTGACTATCATAATTATTAGAAATATTAAACAATTACCTTACTAGATGGATTGGGGTCAAATATAAATATTTAAGACAAGAAAATAAAATAGAAATGTTATCTTAGGGTGAGGAGGTCTTTCCAAGTATGGTATGAAATCCTGGAAAACAGAAAAAAGGATAAACGGTATCATCATAGGGTTCTTAAGGTGATTTAAAAAATAATATATATAAAACCCTTAGTAGATTCTGTGGAGCAGGGTATATTCATTAAGTGTTGGATTAAAATATAATTTGTGGAAATTGGGAGGGAAGAATGAGATACATTGTAGATAATAAGAAAAATAAATTAAAACCAAAGCAAAATCTTTTACAATCCAATAATGATAGTATATCACACAAGGAATTATAAGTAGGAAGGGACATATGGGGCTCTATAATGAGAGTACAAAATATAACCATATATGCACTATGTTCTCAAATTATAAAATTATATTTCAGTTTATGAATGTGTATGTATTTGTATGTGGGTATGTATATAATGTAGGGGTCAAGGGAAAACTTCCTTTTTGCCCTCTGAAGGTTCCCTGAAAAATCAACTCAAAAAGGCAGATTATTTGGAAAAAAGGCATATAGATTTTATTAATGGGTATGCAGAAATCTTCATAATTAAGACCCAAAGATATAGGAGAAATTGTCTGTTCTTATGCTTAGTTTCAACAAAGTACAGACAGCCATGTAGTAATATGATTGTACAAAAAGGGTATGATCTAAGGCTCACAGACTGAGTGGGGAAACCCAGCAGGGCCTGTCTGTCCAGATGCTTCTTGGCATCTCTGAGCATGTATTCCTTCCTTCTGGATGTGGGGCAGGACACTTTCTCGAATGGGGGTCTGATGACCTACAGTCAAACAAGGTAAGTCAGATAATTTCTCTATGTCCTGCTTTTATGCAGAAAGGTGGAGGGAAAGTTAGAGTATATTTTTAGGTTTTATGTCTGGCTTTGGAGAAAAGGGGTTCTGGTGTCTATGACCTGCCTTGGGGAAAAGGAATTCTATTAATAGTTTCTATGGCTAGCCTCAGAGGAGAATGGGACTGAGAGACAAGAGGGCAGAAGAAGGTCAGAGAAAAATTTTTGTTTCTGAGGCCTTGATTTTGAAGTATTGTTTTGTATCCCAACAATACCCACAAGAAGGATATACCTAAAAACATATGAAAACTATCATTAATAATTTTCTCTGGTAGAATTATGAGTATTTTTAATGTCTGTTTTGTATTTTAAAGTTCCTTTAATTTTCTACTGTGGATATATGTTATTCATGAATTCAGAAAAGGTATCTTAAGGTAAAAGAGCAGCTTTGTTTCTAAAAGCAATGAAGAAATATAATCCAGTCAAATAAAACTGTTCAGGCATTTCCTAAAGTTCAAATAAACTTGTCACATCTGGAACAACATCTCAGATTTTACCCTCTTTGCAAACTAACAAGATCTACCTGTCACATTTTCATAGATACTGGCAGAAAGGCACGAGGTTTCTGGGTCAGTTTGTTACATGCAGCTATAGTAGAAGTCAGAGTAATGTCCTGCTTCCTAAGCCCCAGTTCCCACAGGGCAACACGATGAGGGTCAGGTGTTTCCTACTCTCACAGTGGGATGAGTTACAGAACACCGGTATAAGGAAGCCCACAATCTTGTACAGGTACTGCTTGCAAATTGGCTCAACCTCCACTCCAGAGAGAGACATTACTTTTATTACTCTGGAATTTAAATCTGCTCCAGGGAGAGGAACATCTCTGCCCTTCAAGACAGCTTGCTTATACAAGCATCCTGAAAAGAAAATCCAGAGAAAATTAACTGATAATGCCTTTGTTCAGAAAATGAGCCCCAAAGAAATGTGAGAGATCACAGGAGGATTGCTTCCCAACAAAACCATCTCACCAATTTATAAAGATGTATAAAGTGTGTCTATTTGAAGATGTAAATTTAATAAAGCATTTCATATTTAGAGATTGCTAGCTTGGACTAAAATATGACTATTCAGTCTTTGCTAGCATGTATTTTTCCGTTTGGCTTCCTTTTGATCTACTTCTTCCCCTAATTTATCTGTTCCTGAGAACCCCCCAAAAATGTTTGAGTTGGTAGTCTGGGCTTTAATTTATATTTTTATTATGATTGAAAAATTTAGATGCATTCTGTAAAGTTTTTTTTTTTTTTAAAGGGAAAACATACCAGAAGACCACTTGTGGAAATTCAAACAACAACGAGATATTGGCTAGATTTGCTGAAGATTCTAAATGTGTTTATCATCTTTCTTTATTTTATTGTTCGCTCTTGTCCTCAGGCATTTCATAAAGCTTTATCTAGACAAAATCACACAGACAAAACAATAACGATGCTGAAGTGGATAAGGTCAAAGGTAAGAGAGAGGTCAGAAAAGAAAAGCTTTGATGTATTATGTTAAGTACAAAAGAATGGCTTTACTTGTTTTATTGCTCTTCTTTTAAAAAATGCACACCTTAAAATAATTTTAAGTGAAAAATCGATATGGATAAGAAACAAAGCTACTTTTGTTAAACTTTATACCTGTGATTTTTTTTATTCATTCAAGGATAAATATATGCTTGACCTCTGCCCACTGGAAGTCAAAGCATTGCACCTTCACTTATAATTTGTAGACACACAAGAGTTGGCTAACTGCAGACAGCATCAAGGATTAATAGATGTATTGTGAAATATAAACCATGGGAAGACTAAAATGTCCATTCACTAAGGAGAAAGTATGAGCTAATTTTTGTGAACACAAACAGGTTTCCTTATAGCCAGTTGGAGAGAGGGAGAAAAATAGAGGCAATACTTTAGGAAAGGAACTGCATATTACTTGAGTCAGAAACTGATTTCAAAGGAATTGAGTGAGAGAGCACAGAATGAAACTCTGAGAGCTTAAATGCCCAACATTCATCTGAGTACCTGGAAGACCAGAAAGCCAATTATGTTGACAACAATCTCTCCTGGAAGCGGAGAGAGCAGAGGAGCCTAAGGTTGGCATTCAAATTAACAGGATGACTCCTTATTTCTCCAGAAATAAGGCTATGGAACCATTAGCCATGTTGGTAGAAATTTAAAACAGTGGGTTTGGGCAGAATTCACACTTCCCACATTCACGTACACATTATATTCTTTTTACTTGTTTCCAATAAGGTCAAGTTGAGAACACATATAAAGGAGGGGTATTAGGATGTCCAGGATGTATTTTCTGAGATATTATGACTACAGCTATAAATGAGTGTTTCTCAATCACCTATTTGTATATCAACAAAGTCATGTTTTTGAGTCACTAAAATAATGATTATAGAGTCACTAAAATAGTAATTCAATCCCCCTGCCTCTCCCTTTGATGATAAAAATTTTCTATGTCTCTCTCCCTCTCCTATTTCTCTGTGCTGCAATCAAGCTTCCTGAAAACATTTTAAAGATTCATTCAATACATTTGGAAAAAAAAAGAGTGTTAGAGACTTCTGCAAGAAAAACTAGAATTTCAGCATTTACAAAGTTTAAGTGTTTATAGATAAAGTATAAAAATCGACATAATTTTCCAAACTTTATTTACAGTTTGTTTTTTTTTTTTTTTTTGAGACAGAGTCTCACTTTGTTGCCCAGGCTAGAGTGAGTGCCGTGGCGTCAGCCTAGCTCACAGCAACCTCAAACTCCTGGGCTCAAGCAATCCTGCTGCCTCAGCCTCCCGAGTAGCTGGGACTACAGGCATGTGCCACCATGCCCGGCTAATTTTTTTTTTTCTATATTAGTTGGCCAATTAATTTCTTTCTATTTATAGTAGAGACGGGGTCTCGCTCTTGCTCAGGCTGGTCTCGAACTCCTGACCTCGAGCAATCCGCCCGCCTCGGCCTCCCAGAGAGCTAGGATTACAGGCTTGAGCCACCGCGCCCGGCCTACAGTTTGATTCTTTATTCAAGTAGACATGCCCTTACCATTCTGGAAAAAAGGACATTTTATTTATTTACTTATCTGTGTACCTCAATGCACAGGTAATTTTTTCCCCCTTCCTTCTCTTTCAGTTCTCTTAGGTATTTCTGTTCCCAGAAAGCAGGTGCAGTTCTGTTAATGCACTGGTAAAACTCACTTCAAATATAGTGCAAATGAGAGAGAGATACCAAAATCACTGACTTACTTTCAGAATTTCTCCTTGGCTCTATCTCACCTTATTACTAGGATTCTCCTTTCTAAGATGTTCTATCCTCCTTATACCTCTACATCATCCCAGGACTATGTCAATTCCTAGTAGGAGTCATTTTTTGTTTACTGTTTTTGCTTTTATCTCAATGCTTGGGCTAATTCATTCCAGCCTGAATTTTCTTCAAATTAGCCTCAGGATTTTGCTAGTCAATTACATTAATCTAATCTTGACTTACCCCATTTTGGCTTTTTGATTCTGTGGCTGGTAAGGCTCCATGATTGGGAAGCCACCTGTCCAATGACCATCTCCTGTGCAGCTCAACTCTGTCATCCATTTCACAAGTTTGGTGAGATGGAGCCTGCATTCTTTTGCTTCTGACCCTTTCTGGTCTCTCTCTCTCTACAGCACACATTGTCCTAGATATTATAAGATATTATATTTCTCTCTGTAAGCAAAACAAACACATCCAGGGGTCCATTTCCTTAGGGTCCTGATCATTTCCAAGAAGTGGGATTCTTCACTGAAGTACTCTTGACTCACTAAAGGATTATGGAGTTTTAGTCTTAATTCATCTTAGAATTGGCCAAGTTCAATTCTTTCTTCCATAAGTGAGGAAACAGAGATCCAGATGTGTAAAGTCAGCACCAAAGCTGGATCTCAAACATAGGATCCTTTCCTAACCTTAATGCTGTTTTTCTTTTCTTTTTTTTTGTATGTGTGTGTGTGTGTGTGTGTGAGGGTCCAAGTCATTTTTGGTTACATGGATAAATTATATAATGGTGATATCTGGGTTCTTAGTGTACCCATCACTTGAATATTGGACATTGCACCTGATAAGTAGATTTTCTACCCTCACCTTATTCCTACCCTCCCCCCTTATGAGTCTCCGATGTCCACTGTACCACTCTGTATGCCCCTGCTACCTGTAGCTTAGCTCCCACTTGTAAGTGAGAATACGCAATATTTGGTTTTCCATTCTTGTGTTACTTCATTTAGGATAATGGCCTCCAGTTTCATCCAAATTGCTACAAAAACATTATTTCATTCTTTTTTATGGCTGAGTGATATTCCATGGTGCATGCACATATATATATATATATATATACACCACATTTTCTTTATCTACTCCTTGGTTGATAAGCACTTAGGTTGATTCCATATCTTTGCTACTGTGAATTGTGCTGTGGTAAACATACAATTCAAGGTGCCTTTTTGATATTATCCTATCTTTCTAAAACTACTTCTAGAGTCATATGCTTACATTGATAATCACCTTAAATTCTGAGGCAGAGACTGATTAGCAGAGCCTTTTGTCTATGTTTCAAATCATATAAATGGACAGCTTTTTAATTCATTCACGTGTTTGTTGTTAGGGGTTACAGTTCAGGTACCTGTGTCATGGAACCAGAAGCTCTGAGCAAAACTACAAAGATACGGTTTATCTTTGGTGACCCCTCAATTTGGAGCTGAAAATCCCCTTGTTCTTTGATTTCTCCATGATTAAAAACTATTTCCAGAAATGTATCTGCCCTTAATTGTGTTCTCTTTTTAGTCACCTTTAAAAAAGTCTTCTAATAATCTCAACTTCAAATAACCTGTATAGTTAACAACAATAATTTCTGCTAGAATTATTAGTGTCTAAAATAATAATTTTTCAAAAACTTTCTTCTCTTTCCATTGCATGAAGAATTTCAGTTTCTGGAGAATAGAAGCTATTTGGAGAAATACAATTATTTCAATGTCCCTAAAATCAATTTTAGCTATATTCCTACATATTTACTCCTTTTCTTAAGAAAAGAAAAATGAGTGACAGGACATTGAGATTCTTATGCAAACACCTGGCTACATTACAAAGGACTATGTAAATGTTAAAATCCCTGTCTCAGGTTTTCCATGCCTACCTGCCTATTGATGACATCTGTGGATTCTCCACTCTCTTATTTTTCATAATTTGTGTGATGAATTTTAATACCATGTGCCATTTAATTTTGAATCAACTAAACAGGATGGAATGAAAATAAGATTGAGAAATGTTTAATCACCATGGGATTAAGAGCGACAACAAAAGGAATTAACAAATCAACAACTGTTGTCTTAAACTAATAAGAATGAGAGGGGTGAATTAGTTTTCAGACAAATTCAACTTTATAAATGTTAAGTTTAAAGAATTCACCCTCCCCAAACTTTCATCCAAACCTCCAATAAAACCCACCCCTCTCCCCTTCCTAGGGGTGTATTAGGCAGGTAGATTTTGCCAGACACCTAGAGAGATAAAGGAGTGAAATGCAAAAGGGGAACTTACTTTCCTCATCCTTCCTGATAAGGAAGTTGCTTATCCCCCCTCATTGTTCCCTAGGAAGATAAAGAAATGGAATGCAAGAGGGGAAATTCCTTTCCTTATCCATCCTGGTTGTTTGAAAAGAATTATTTCCTCCTCCCCTCAAAATCCTCTATAAAACCCAAGGCTCTCCCCTTTTCTCTGGTAGAGGCCTTTTCTGCCCTCCACCCATCTGCACCCTGATGCTCAAAATAAACAGCATTTTGCTACACATGAGGCTTCGTGTCTCTCTCTTGGCTATGGACCTAACAATAAATTTAAATGAAGATAAAAACAACTAAAAAAATAAAGTGCTACTTTTTGTACAAATAAGTGGAATAAAAAGTATTTTGGATTTTTCCGAGGTGTTTAATTTATCAATGTATTTGGCATTTCTTGGTATACTTAATAATTTCTTAATTGCTAATCAATTTCTCCTAGTTTTATAGCTAAATACTTATATACAATAGTCCATAAAATGCTTTTTATGGGATCTTGTGCATAATAGGAAACCAATCCTTAGTTAGATCGATTGAGTCAATGACCATTGTTAAAACAGATGTTTATAAAAATCTACTCTTTTCTAGGTATGTTATATATTAAAACAATTGGGCAGCATTTTATCCAATAAGATACTGGGCTGATTTCTTGGTAGAGTTTCTAGGGACTTAGTCATCCCTCTCTTCTTGGTACAGAAAAGAGGCCCCCTTACAAATGGAATTTTCTTTATAGATATGAATTTCCCTCTAGGAAAGGGTAGCTTCTACTGTTTTCTGAGCTTCTCCTGTGTTTACAGTTTCTCAAATTAATCAGCTCAAAATAATTGTTATGCCAAAAAGTCATATTTGGGAGTGGCATATTTTGGTCTCCTGTAATAACAAAGTGAGCATTTTATACTTTCCATTCTCTAAACTAAAAAGAGAGCATTTATTACACACACACACACACACACACACAGATACACACACTATTGGTGTGGAGAGGAAAGCATTAAAAGAAGGAAACGATGGGGGAAATGATATGGATACATTTATTAAGCAATAGCTATGCATCTGTCACTAAGCCAGATATTTCATTAAGTCTTCAAAATTATGCCTGTCAAGTACATATTATTACCCACACATTAGAGATGAGATGACTAAGGGCCAGATACAATAATTAACGCAGAGTACAAACTCAAATTATCTGAATTCAGAGAACAATTTATTTCTTAAAAAAAACTGAAGCTGTTATAGATGTATGTTCCATGTTGTTAAGGAAAAATCATATTCGTAACACCTGTTAAAGCACAGTAAGGAAGATTTCATTCAAGGGGGGACTATTGCTATAGGTATAGGGAGCTCTGCAATGGAGTTTTGCAGTGAGAGAGTGAGATTGGGTTCAACCCTGAATACAGCCTTGGCAAGTGGAGATTTATAGCCAAGGATCAGGGTAGGGGTTAGTGGATGGAAAATCATTAGGGGTAAGCGGGATTCTGGCTAACCATATCTAACAGGATTCTAACTGAAGGCAGACATCACTTGTGGGATTGTGCAGGAAGAGGAACCTGATCAGATATCAAATGTGGTCAGGTATCAAGGGTGGGGGATGCTTGCTAAGCTAACTTAGCAGGGTTCTTGCTAAAACCAGATTTTACAAGGAAGTGCCCGCATGGGCCTACAACAAGGTTCAGAAGCCAGACAAAAGTTTGGTGAAACAAAGAACCTTTGTCTTTGCTTGGACATCAGCTCTCCATTTCACTTATAAAACTCCTGAAAGATCTTTCCAATACATTGGCTAAAATCTATCTTTTTATTTGTAGCATATTTATAGCATATTTCAAAGTTTATGTGAAACGCTCTCATGTTCTCTTCCTTCTCTCTCTCCTCCCTCCCTCCCTCTCTCTCTCTCCATCTCTGTGCATGCTTGCTCTTGAAAATTACATCACCACCATGGAAGTAGTGTACCAATTTGATTTGTGTGTGTGTGTGTGTGTGTTCTTATTCTAAATTTCCAGCTTTCTTTATCTTGCTTATGTCAAATTCAATGGCCCCAGACTAAACTCATCATTTTTCTACCAAACCACCTCCTTCCCATGACCCATGACTTTCTAGCTCTGTTAACAGCATTGTTATTTTTCTACAGACAAATATTTGAAACTGGCCAGGTGCAGTGGCTCACGCCTGTAATCCTAGCACTCTGGGAGGCCAAGGCAGGAGCATCCTTTGAGCTCAGGAGTTCAAGACAGCCTGAGCAAGAGCGAAACCCTGTCCCTACCAAAAATAGAAAAAATTAGCCGGGCATGGTGGCACATGCCTGTAGTCCCAGCTACTCAGGAGGCTGAGGCAGAAGGATCGCTTGAGCCCAGGAGATTGAGGTTGCTGTGAGCTAGGCTGATGCCATGGCATTTTAACTGAGGCAACAGAGTGAGACTTTGTCTCAAAAAAAAAAACCTTGAAACTTTGTCTTTAACTTTCCTCACTCTATCCCCATAGGCAATCAGTTGCTGCTTAAATACACACACACATGCATACATGTGTACATACATATATGTGTGCACACATACATTCCAAATATCATTTAAATCTGTCCTCTTCATTCCATTCTGTGATATATATATACTGCAGTAATGGCTTAAATGTTTCATTCTTCTCTGTATAATGCTATAATGGTTTCCTTTTTTCTTGTGGTTGTGAGGTACCTTATCTCCCTGACTCTGAGCTTGACTATGGGACTCACTTTGTCCAGTGAGAAGTTAGCAGATTGCGACAGAAATAGAAGCTTGTAAAAAGCGCTTGTGATTTTCCATTTTGCTCTTGCTCCTGTGCCATTGGCACAAGAAGTACCAAGACTAGTCTGATAGAAGATGTAAGTCTGGAAAACCTAGTCAAGTTTCCCTAGTTGCTTCGCTGAAGAGCAACTCGGATCAGCATCAGTCAAATGGTCACAAGATAGGCGAATGATAAACGCCAAAATCAAGAGTGCTGAGGAGTCACCTGGCTAGACAACTGACAAAAATAAACAGTTATTTATACATGCCACTAAGGTTTTCTGATTATTTGTAACAATTAATAAGCTATTCACTTTCCTTCTACTATAACTTAATATAGGACATTATCATATGTACATATGCTATTATTGTATTCATATGCAAACTAACCTTTTACCAAACATTTTTCATCTAATTCACCATTCCCCACATTTTTCACCAATTCACTTTTCCCAACACTGGGGGTCCATCTTTCCTTTTAGATATTAGATAAATAGATGTCTCTTCTCAAAAACCTCTGGTCTCCCAAGAATGGAAAAATAAGTACCACATGTACTCACTAGCAAATTGGTTTCACTGATCAACACCTAAGTGGATATATAGGAATAACATTTATTGGACGTTGGGCAAATGGGAAGGGGGAAGATGGGATGGGTATGTACATACATAATGAGTGTGATGTGCACCATCTGAGGGATGGACACCCTTGAAGCTCTGACTCCAGGGGGGAAAGAGGGGGAAGGAAACACAGGTAACTAAACATTTGCACCCCCATAATATGCTGAAATGGAAAAACAAAACAAAACAAAACTCTGGTCTCTGTTGCCTACCAAATCAATTTAAATTTCCTACCCCGGCATTAAAGGCCCTCTGATATCAGCCCTCACTATATAATTATTTATGGCATTTCTTCTACACAGAATACCCTTCCTTCTCCACCATTGTGTTTGCAAATATTCTTCATCTGTCATAGCAGAATTGAAGTCCCACTTTCTTCCTGGATAACCAGCCAAGAGTGGTTTCTTTCTTTATTGATCTCACCTAGTACTTTCTTCATACATGCTTGATGTTAGGAATTAATAAATAAATGGGACTTGGTTAAATTTAAAAGCTTCTGCACAGCTAAGGAAATAATCAACAGAGCAAATAGGCAACCTACAGAATGGGAGAAAATAATCACAAACTATACCTGAATATTCACAAACTGTATCTGAAAGGGGCTAATATCTAGAATCTACAAAGAACTCAAACAAATCAGCAAGAAGAAAACAAACAACCCCATTATAAAATGGGCAAAAGACATGAACAGAAGTTTTCCAAAAGAAGATAGACAAATGGCTAACAAATGGATGAAAAAATGCTCAATATCACTAATCATCATGGAAATGCAAATTAAAACCACAATAAGAAATCAACTTACCCCTGTTAGAATGGCCTATTAGAATGGCTTTTATTAAAAATCCCCAAAACAATAGATGCCAGCATGAATGCAGAAAGGAACACTTAAACACTCTTAGTGGGACTGAAAATTAGTACAACCTCTGTGGAAAACAGTATGGAGATTTCTCAAAGAACTAAATGTAGGCCTACAATTTGATTCAGTAATCCCACTACTGGGCATTTATCCAAAGGAAAATAGGTCATTTTACAAAAAGACACCTGCACTTGAATGTTTATAGAAGCACAATTCACAACTGCAAAGATGTGGAATCAACCCAAGTGTACATCAATTCATTAGTGAATTAACAAAATGCAGTATAAGTATACCATGAGGTACTATTCAGTCATAGAAAGGATGAATTAATGCCTTTTGCAACAATCTGGATGGAACTGGAGACCATTCTCCTAAGTGAAATATCTCAATAATGACAAAACAAATACCACATGTACTTTCTAACAAATTGGAACTTACTGATGGGCATACATGTACACAGAGAGAAGTAAAAGTCATTGGAAATCAATCAAGGGGAAGTGGGGAGAAGGGAAAGGGTAAAAACCTAACTAACAGGTATGTACAATAAACACTATTTGGGTAATGGGGACACTTATAGCACTGACTCAAGCATTACAAAATCTATCCATGTAACAAAAACATTCGTACCCCATTAATGTTTTGAAATAAAATAAAATAAACAAATAAATGGGATTTAATTAGACTTTACAGTTTCTGCATAGCAAATAATCAACAGAGTAAATAGACAACCTACAGAATTGGAGAAAATATTTGTAAACTATACATTTGACAAATGGTTAATAACCAGAGTCCACAAGGAACTTAAACAAGTCATCAAGGAAAAGACAAATAACCCCATGAAAAAGTGGACAAAAGACATGAACATATTTTTTCAAAAGAAGACAGACAAATGGTCAACAAACATGAAAATATGCTCAACATCATTAAACATCAGGTATATCCAAACTAAAACCACAATGAGATACCATCTTAACCCTGCCAGGATGCCCATTATTAAAAAGTCAAAAAAAAAAAAATAGATGTTGGTGCAGATGCAGTAAAAAGGAAACAGTCAACACTGTTGGTTGGAATGTAAACTGGTTCAAACTCCATAGGAAATAGTAAGGAGTTCTCAAAGGACTAAAAGTAGAACTATTGTTTGATTGAGGAATCCCACTGCTGGATATCTACCCAAAGGAAAATAAGTCATTTTGCAAAAAAAGACAACTGCATCCAAATGTTTATCGCAGCACAAGTCACTATTGCAAATACATGGAATCAAACTAAGTGCCGATCCACTGAGGAGTAGATAAAGAGTGGTGTGTGTGTGTGTATAAAATATCACATCATACTACTCAGTCATGAGAAAAGAATGAAATAATGTGTTATGCAGCAATTTGGATGAAACTGGAGACCATTATCCTAAGTGAAGTATCTCAGGAATAGAAAAACAAATGTCACATGTTCTCACTCACAAATGGAAGTTAAACAAAGGGTATACATGGTTGTGTAATTGTATAAAGGACATTGAAAACTAAGAGGGGGTAAAAATGGGAGGAAGGTGAGGGATAAAAATCTACCTGTGGGGTACAATGTACACTATTCTGGTGACAGGTACACTAACAGCCCTGACTTCCGCATTATACCATTCATCTACATAACAAAAACACTTGTATCCCCTAAAACCATTGAAATTAAAAAAAGAAATCTAAACAATAAACATTTTATTAATAATAAAAAAGAACTAAAGGTGCGCCATTTATTTTATTCACCCACACATTTGTGGCACACAGTTACACTGGGATTTCTGTGTGGAAAATGATGCTTTTGTCTGGTCGTATGTTCATGGAAATAGATAGTACTGCAAGCATCCTAGAAAAAGGGAGAGTAAAGATCTCCACAGATAGTGGAAGTTGTTTTGCTCATACATTGTTGTAACAATATTCTCTAGGTGATAGAAAATTTATTTCTATTTGCAGGTGGTTGTCATCTTTTTCTTTCTCCAACTACGTGTTACAACTTTATATGTAGGGATGTGGGTAAAGGAGTAGGGTTGCATGTGTGTGTTTAGGATCACACAGAGTCAAGGACAGACTCAGAAGCCAGGCAACTTAGGGTTCAGTCCCAGATCTGGTCCTTTTATCTGTGTGACCTTAGGCAGGCAAATGAATCACTTTGTGCCTTACATCTCTAATAAGTAAAATAAAAAAAAGTTAGCACTTACTCATAATATATTCAAAGAGTTAATGTATAAGTAAAGTTATTTAAACCTGTATCTGCCACCATATAGAATTAGCACTATGTAAATTCTACCTATTATTTTTGTTGTTTCCATTGCCAATTTTGGTGTAGTTTTTGAAATTTTTTCTATTATTTATTTTATTACATGCATTTTTCATGCTATTTAGTATTTCACAAAATAACATGGTATGTAAAATTACCAAATATTCCATTCTATGTCTTGATATATTTAATTTATTCATCCACTCATTCATTCTAATCTAAGTTTCCCAGAAGAAGCTTAGAGTCACTCAATTGTAAATAAGCCCATATGAAGTAGAAATAAAAACACAACATTTATACCAGTTTAAATACCTGATTGAATATGTCCATCATTCTCTCTGAAGCCTGCACCAAAGACTGTACTGTTTCTCTCCAACATCACCCTCATATCTTTAGTCACGTAACTAAAACATCTTCTTGGGAACCTTATATATTAGAGAGACTATGGAAGAAACGTTATCCCTCTCTCACTGAGAATATACTTCCCAGAAGAGAAAAATTGGCTTCAAATAGAGCTTATATTTTAGTTTCCTCTCTTATAACTTATATATTTGTCAAGGGGACTATGTAATAGGTCAGTCACTTCTCTATTACCAAGAGTAATGATTAAAGTATAAATTGCATGAAGTTCACAAGTCATCAGAGACTATTATATATGACAGGGTTTGATTCTGTATCTTTCACTGGATAACCTATAGCACAGGAATAAAAAATGTACATATTTCACAGCTTGAAACTTTAGCAAAATCATAATGAAATAGTTTAGATTACTTTTAATTCTAAGAATATCTGCATATACTGTGTGTGCATGCGCGTGTCTATTTATTACATACATTAGGACTACTTAAATTTCTTGCTATCAGGAAAAAAATAAATAAAATTCCCTCCTCACAACTTCCCATTCTGCATAACCTTTCCAGTTTACTTTCTGTTGAGGACCTAACTATTGAATATTGCTTACAATGACAAATGATTTGGTCAGGGTTTGTGCCTTCAGAAATTTAAATGCAACAATATCCAATATAAGAGATGTTTAGCCATTTTACTGTTACCAAAAGGTTTTCTAAAATATGTGTAAATTTTCTTTTGTTCTTTTTTTAAAGTTTTATTCTAACAAAATGCATAGATTCTAAAGTGTTCAGTTCCTTTATCTGATAATTTCATATGTCCATGACCTGCGTAACAATCCAATAAAAATTTCTGTCATAAAAGAAAGTACTTTGTTGTCTCTTTCCAGTCAGTTTTCCCTCCAGAGGCGGCCACTTTCTGACTTCTATAACTGTATATTACTTCATGTTTTGATGGTCTGGCTGCTTTTGCTCAGTGTTGTGTCTGC